AACACTGTATGCGAAAAAAAGGAAAAAACTAAACAAAAACACACGGACTTCGATCATTGGGGGTCCGTAGAAAGGCAAATCTGTCCACAGAGATCCTTTCAAACTGAAGAGGTCTAGATTAGTAATGCAGTCAGGTTTGATTGGAGGTCCCACATCTGGATCTGAGCAGAGAGATGCTACCAGTGTTTGTCAAAACTGCTCTAAATCCATTCCAAAAAGTCAGAACACACGTCCATAGCTGCCATTTCTGGGTCTCCTTTGACATGGATGTAATATCCGAACCTATAACTAGATTTAGAGGGAATTAAGTCCTCATAGAGAGGGCAAAGTCACGATTATGTCCCAACTCTCTAACTTTGGGCAGAGGGACCTGACCACTTGGGTAAATCTGAAAGTGAAAGTAACCTGAAATTGCATTTTTATGTGTTCTCAGTTAGTGTGTGAACACACAAAAAAAATCACACCCTCTTTGATGGATATTAACAAGCTCAGAACTGTCAAAGTTTGACTTAATCCATAGACAAACTATATTTTAGTGCCCTCTTCTAAGTTTCATGTGAGGGATTCCAGAAGGTCTGCTAGCTAAATCGCTATAATCAAAGTCATTGGAAAATTACAAACCGTGGCAAAAGCAACGAAAAAGGAAATCCAAAAGCAGATTTAGGAACATGAGGCCAGCTGTTTCAATCCAAGTTAATAGGTCTGTATCAATTTCCCTCTAATATGAAGACCTTTAGGGACATGGACGTTTGGAGAGCCTCTCTGTGTATTTTGAAAAGCTTCTCAAAGGGTCGTATATAATAAACGAGGCTGTAACTTTAGCTACGAACCGAGATTTGAATTTCCTGATTTTAAAAGTGGTTTTGTCAGTTTTGGAAGAGATCTGTCTTCTACACTGAAGCTCTTTGCCATCTCACACATGTGGGTTTCTCCAGCTACGATATGAGCCCAATAGAAGACCATCAACAATTACCAATAATCATCAATAATCATCAATAATCATTAATAATCATCAATAATCATAAATAATCATTAATAATCATCAATAATCATTAATAATCATCAATAATCATTAATAATCCTCAATAATCATCAATAATCATCAATAATCATTAATAATAATCAATAATCATCAACAATCATCAATAATCATTAATAATCATTAATAATAATCAATAATTATCAATAGTCATTAATAATCATTGATAATCATCAATAATCATTCATAATAACCAATAATCATTAATAATCATTAATAATGATCAATAATGATCAATAATCATAAATAATCATTAATAATGATCAATAATGATCAATAATGATCAATAATCATTAATAATCATCAATAATCATTAATAATCATCAATAATCATCAATAATCATCGATAATAATTAATAATCATCAATAATCATC